CTTCAAAGAGCCAGCTAGAAGAGGAAAGGCAGGAAAGCGGGGCGGGGGGATGGATGGATGGGAGGGAGGAAGGAAAGGGGGGGGGGTAATTTTGTCCTGAGCAATAAATTAAACTTGAACCACTTTATATCTGTCCGAGTCAAATGCAGTCCAACTGTAAGGTACCAATACCAAACCGCAACCTGTATTTCAGTTTAAAACGCATTCCATTTCTAGTTTTGGGGAAGTGCTCGTGTGACCGGGAGAGAGGCAGGGTGGCAGGGGTTAGGTTTACTAGGGAGCCACGAGCTGCACTTTGAAACACAAAGAGCCCCAGCTTGGCCACCCCTGATGTAGACAATGACAGACATGTACGGGTTGTAAGTCTCTACAGTCAGAACCAAACTTAACTGGACCGTGGCGCAGTGCATGCTTTCTGAGGGCCGCTAGCCTGGCCGGGGTTGTCACGGCCACTTAATGATGTGGCGACAGGCCCATCTTAGTGCACGGGAGGAGCGTGGTAATTCCCGAGGTGGGGTGTCATGTCAGATAGCACCCACACCAAAAAGGAAAGAAAAGAATGCTGCTGTCTTTTTTTTCTTTTTGCATGCATGTCACGTTCTGCTTTAAAATAAAAAGAGGTTAAAATAAAGATTCATTTTGGATGGGTCGGCGAATCAAGATATTTAGTCTCATTCGCACAGGATTCTTCTTTCGGGAAGGGAAAGTAGTCATGAATACACTCAAGATATAGGTTGAAAATGCCGTATTAAGTAATGCAATGATCGGAACAGTTCTGTATTTCATTTTTGAAAACGAGTGGATTTAATGCAGAATGCAGCATAAGGACAGGTCAAAAACATAGAAAAAGAAATGTTTCTGCAGAATCTTGTCTAAAGAGCTACCATGTTCCCCCCACGCGCTGCGATGAACTTGCCGTCACGTGACCAATCAGTTGTACCGATTGTCGCTAAACTAGCGCCCATCGGGAAAACAAATGGGCGGCGGCACGCTCCAGTTAAGTTTGCTTTTGACTATACATGTCTGTCTATCTATGGAAACAGGTTTGTTTCATGGCGCTCGTTTGCCAGTTCAGGGAAGAAATGAGAAGAAAATGCACTTCTTTTTGTCCCTGTACCAAACTTCAGGCGAAGTTTGGTACAGGGACAGAAGCTTTCATTTATTCCACCCCGATGCCACTGTCGGGGTGGCGTCAGAGGCACCACCGTCGGGTGGGGGCATGGCACGCAACAAGCCACTGCCAATGCCTCCAGTTTGTGGGGGTGGTTGCGGCAGTACCAACGCACTAGTATACTTTTTCTACCCTTCACTTGCATAGTAATTTCCATATGACAATTCCTAAAACATGCCTTCCAGGCAGGCCTGTAGCCAGGGGTGACGCCCATGGGGCCCGGCCCCCCCCCCCCCAAAATCTTCCATTTTGCTGGGACCTCCTCTCCCCCCTCCCCCTCATACAGCATTTTGTCATGAGCGGACCCCCCCGAAACAAAATCCTGGCTACGTGCCTGCTTCCAGGCACATATCCAGGGGCCTTGTGCAACTTTTGACTGGGGTGGGGCAGGGTTCCTCTCAGAATTCAGCTGGAGACAGGGTCTCCTGCTAAGCAGCCAAGCCTGCCATTGGAGCAAGCACGCACATCCTGCACATTTAACTAGAGCTGTGTGAATAATGATTCGGATCAAATAGCACTGCGACATTCACAGCCTTCATGGTGTAAAGGGAAGCCGCGCATACCAGCAGTTTTTGCAGTGTTGAAGCTAGGCATGACATTGTGCTATTCAATTCAAAGCAGTATTCACACACCTAGTACATTTTACACTCTGAAGGCAGTGTGACAGCTGAACCTCTAACTTTCTCGCACAGACACTTCTGTTACACAATATCGTGGCATTTGCTTCTTGTTTTCACAACAAAAGTACTGAAATGGTAAGCTTTTCCTTCATCAAACTAGGCCGAACCAGACTGTTCTCCGGTACCTGGTGCAGATATGGACGGGAGCCCCATGGAAGAGGTGCCAGCAGCACAAGTAAGATTATGATATATGCAACCACTATGTAACGCTGAGAAAGCCAAAACAAGCTTACAGACCAGGGGTGGCCATGCTGACCTGTCCTAGAAGCCGCAAACAAAACCACAACACTTCAAAGAGCCAGCTAGAAGAGGAAAGGCAGGAAAGCGGGGCGGGGGGATGGATGGATGGGAGGGAGGAAGGAAAGGGGGGGGGGTAATTTTGTCCTGAGCAATAAATTAAACTTGAACCACTTTATATCTGTCCGAGTCAAATGCAGTCCAACTGTAAGGTACCAATACCAAACCGCAACCTGTATTTCAGTTTAAAACGCATTCCATTTCTAGTTTTGGGGAAGTGCTCGTGTGACCGGGAGAGAGGCAGGGTGGCAGGGGTTAGGTTTACTAGGGAGCCACGAGCTGCACTTTGAAACACAAAGAGCCGCAGCTTGGCCACCCCTGATGTAGACAATGACAGACATGTACGGGTTGTAAGCCTCTACAGTCAGAACCAAACTTAACTGGACCGTGGCGCAATGCATGCTTTCTGAGGGCCGCTAGCCTGGCCGGGGTTGTCACGGCCACTTAATGATGTGGCGACAGGCCCATCTTAGTGCACGGGAGGAGCGTGGTAAATCCCGAGGTGGGGTGTCATGTCAGATAGCACCCACACCAAAAAGGAAAGAAAAGAATGCTGCTGTCTTTTTTTTTCTTTTTGCATGCATGTCACGTTCTGCTTTAAAATAAAAAGAGGTTAAAATGAAGATTCATTTTGGATGGGTCGGCGAATCAAGATATTTAGTCTCATTCGCACAGGATTCTTCTTTCGGGAAGGGAAAGTAGTCATGAATACACTCAAGATGTAGGTTGAAAATGCCGTATTAAGTAATGCAATGATCAGAACAGTTCTGTATTTCATTTTTGAAAACGAGTGGATTTAATGCAGAATGCAGCATAAGGACAGGTCAAAAACATAGAAAAAGAAATGTTTCTGCAGAATCTTGTCTAAAGAGCTACCATGTTCCCCCCACGCGCTGCGATGAACTTGCCATCACGTGACCAATCAGTTGTACCGATTGTCGCTAAACTAGCGCCCATCGGGAAAACAAATGGGCGGCGGCACGCTCCAGTTAAGTTTGCTTTTGACTATACATGTCTGTCTATCTATGGAAACAGGTTTGTTTCATGGCGCTCGTTTGCCAGTTCAGGGAAGAAATGAGAAGAAAATGCACTTCTTTTTGTATGATCTTTTTCTTCTTTTAAAAAGCAGCTTTTGCCAATACGCTTAATAGTATTCCAATGGATGTGGTCACATTATGGCCTGCTTTAACTAATTTTGAAAAACGATAGAATGATGTACTATTGTGGTCAGCAATATTTACCCATTGACTCTGTTTTATTACATCAGGAAGAAGTAAGTTCTTCACCTCTGGCAAGTGAGGCAGACACCAGCCCTTTGGATGAGATTGGAGATGAAGAAGTGAGTATCATTGATTGCTTGCTAAAGGTACTCAAGGTTTTACTGATATAGAACCTATAGGTGCCTGCCTTACAAAAAATAAAATCTGCTGCTTGACAACAGACTTCTCACTGCTGCTTATGTTGTAATTTCCACTGTCATAACGATAAAATAGAGCTTTGAATATTTGATAAGCCGGGTGAGGGGCATCTTTATTAGCACAAGATCCATAAAGCTCGTATGACCACAGAAATATCAAGAATGCCTTTGTTCCACATTTTTCTGCATTGGTTCTCTCATTTCAGCTTAACTTCTTTTCAGTAAATAGGGGACTGCATAGCAAAAAATAATATAGTAGTATCTAGACTATAATGTAGTGCTTCACAGGAAAAAGATCCTTTTCTTTTTGTGTCGGGGGCCATTTAGCTGTGGCTTGGATGTTTAGTATATGTTTAGATTCGCATTGACTATTGTTTGTTTTATTTTCAATTAATTATTGAGATCCACTATTTGACACCATTTGAGGCTGTGTCATGAAATTCAGTATTTTTGTGTGTAAACCAGAATTCAGTATGTAATAATTAATTACTGTAAAACCTTTAAGGTGCACTAAAGGCTTTTCTGAGATTGTCTGTTCTTGGTGATAACTCGTTCTACAGGCTCTAAGCATCCTAAAAATCCAAACATTACGCTCATGCGACGCTTCTTTTCCTACTAAAAATGTGATTTACGATTGGAACCCGCCCTTTCCTGAGCGGAACTTCCCGCTCATGAAAGGCTGGGCATAATCCAGCTGATTCGGCAGCGGGGTGGCGACAGTGCTCGTCAGTCAACCGTAAGCCGCCGTTTTTATAGCAGACGACGCAGAAAATTTTGCAAAATTTAAGAGCATGCGAAACTAGCTTCATAGAATAGCCTCCAATCTTGGTCTCTAGAATTCACAACATTTAGTTGCTGCAAATGCATCTCCTGTGCCCAATACGCAAAAACGTTAAGCTGCAAAGATAAAGGGTTTTACATTATTTGGTATAATTCCTGCTGTATATTGTAGGTCGCGATCTTGGTAACTTATGGGCATTCACTACAAGTAAGGAGTGAGCAATACTTCTATAGATATCCCTGAAAGCCTGTAAGCCTATAAATACAATTTAGGAAATGATAACTTCGGTAATACAGTAAGCCTACTTTGCGGTCCGGTCCGGAGTAATGTGTTTGGTCACCGTCCTGTCAATGTTGACTGCCTGTCGTCATGTGTCCCATGTTACTAGTTTAACCCAGGAATCCAACACCAACCGAACGTGCATGTCGGGCATGTAGCCAAGATTTTGTTTCGGTAAGGGGGGCCCACCCATGACAAAATGCTGTATGAGGGGAAGGGGGGAGAGGAGGTCCCAGAAAAATGGAAAATTACGAGGGGGGGGGGGGCTGGGTCTCCCCCCCCCTGGCTATGTGTCTGGTGCATATTCATACATATTTGACCTTTGCCACGAGGATTTTTTGTATTGAGTATGTGCAAATTGTTTGAATGTTTCAGGACCCAGATTCTGATGGAGGCCCAACCGCAAGTCTCCCTTTTGCTGATGAAAGAACGGAGATTGCTGCCCTCTTGATGGCGTATGTGATGCGACACAAAGTTAGTGACCAGGGTATTACGGATTTGTTAGATATGCAAAACGTAATCACCCCGGGCAAAGCACCACGCTCCAAGTACCTTTTGAAGGCTTTGGGTGCCGACGTGCCTGGTGCGGAGAGGCACTTCTACTGCCTCGATTGCCTGGGGTATGTGGGGCAGGCAACTGATGAGAGTCAAGCTCGATGCGAAAACTGTGACCGGGATATTGATCTGGTCTCCTGCCCCCTTTTTCTTGTCATGCCTTTGAAGGAGCAGATTGAACGGATCCTTGCACAGCCTAACCTCAAGTGGCTTCCACAAAACAGCAGAGGGGACACCATTAGGGATGTGGCGGATGGCATTGAACATGCCAGACTGTCAGCTGATTTTTCAAGTCACGACATTTCCCTGCTCTGGAACACGGACGGGATCAGAGTGTTTGAAAAATCTAGCTTCGACATCTGGCCAGTTCAATGCGAAATCCTCCAGTTGGACCCTGCAGTGCGGAAGCAGAACATGTTGATGCCTGCACTGTGGTTTGGGTTTTCCAAACCCAACATGACTACTCTCCTGACTCCTATCACTAAAGAGCTGCAGGATCTTTCTGGAGGATTTTCTTGTTTGAAACAAGGAAAGAAGGTCGATGTAAGAGTTTTTGCAGCTGCATGCTCCGTGGATGCTGTAGCTCGCTGTGCAGTGCGAAACTGCAAACAGTTTAACGGTTTCTATGGGTGTGGGTGGTGTTACCATCCAGGAGGCTGTTCCTATCAATACCTAGATCCACCTCCAGAGCGTAGAACAGCTCGGAAGCATCTGGAAGAGGCAACAGAGGGCACTACTGCGATACCTGTGAGCGGGGTGAAGGGCCCCTGCCTTGCGATGACCCTTCCTCGATTTGACGTGGTAGATGGTTTTATCCCAGACTACCAGCACTGTGCTTGCCTTAGCGTCATGCGACAGTTGCTTAAGCTGTGGCTTGAAAGCGAGTACCATGACTGTCCCTGGTACATTGGAAGAAAGGTGTCGCTGCTAAACAGCTTCCTGCTAGCAGTCTCTCCTCCGACTGAGATTACACGCACCCCGAGGAAGTTTGAGGACAGAGCCCATTGGAAGGCATCAGAGTTGCGAGCCCTTTTACTTTTTTATGGTTACGTTGTGCTGAAGCCCTTCTTGCCACGGCAGTTTTTTAAGCACTTCACACTTCTCTCCTACGGCGTGTACCTGCTCCTCAAAGACGAAATCACGGAGCGAGATTTTCGTGAGGCACGGGCTCTGCTGGAGAAGTTTGTGTTGCAGATGAGAGCGTTGTACGGCACGACAAACGTGTCGTACAACGTTCACCAGCTGCTTCACTTAACGGACTCTGTGGAAGCCTGGGGCCCGCTGTGGGCGACCTCTTGTTTTCCCTTTGAGGGGCGGAACGCTGTTCTGCTTAACTACTTTTCTGGGACGCAGTGGGTTGGTGAGCAGATTGCCCGAACATTTGTTTTGTGGCAGCAGCTTTCTCTTTGGGCAGACAGAATTGAGGTACCAGAAGGAAGGGCATTCTTTGAGAGGATGGTCGGTCGGGAGACCATAGGTAGGACTGGGGTGAGGCTCCCTGGGGATGTAGTTGTGTACCGGCGACTGAGTTTCTCCGGCACCGACATAAGGCTTGAAGTGGTGTTAGAGAACCACCTGGGGTTTCTGCCACTACACATCACATACTACAAACGGTTTCAGTGTAATGGCATTCTTTGGCATACGGAATCATACAGCATGCCGAAGAGAGTCAACTGTGTTGCTCAACTGCAGGATGCTTCAGTTGGCATCGTTCAAGCGCTTGCCGTGTTTGACGGGAGCCCTACACAACTGCATCCCCAATACTTGGTGCTCATTGAAAAACTTCAGCTGGTGAGGAATGTTCCCTTCATGGACACCCAGCTCGGGATTTCCTTTGCAGCAGTACGAGAGGGGACACGAACAGGCATTGTGACAGCGTGCAGTCCCAATGCTCTAAAGAGAAAGTGTGTTATCATGGAGCGTACTGCTGCAAGCTTTTTTGTTGTTGCTCTCCCTAACCAAGTGGAGCGCGATTAAGGATGGCAACAACTGAATTCCCACGGATAGCACAAGCTTTTCATGAATAAAACCGGTGTCTACTATCCCAATAATCGCCACTTACGGCTGCTACCAGGATATATGGAAGCGGTCTAGCAAATCACAATCGTCGGTAACATTCGGGGTTGAAAAAGGCTCGAGGTACACCTAAGCACTTGTTATGAGTTGTGAATGCGAAAGCATGAATGTCATTCTTGCGCACATTCTCATGAATGCCACAGATATGCATTTGATTTGACGACGTAGCCCTGATTAGCGCCAATTTCTGGTCTATAACAAAAGTAGACACCGAAGAAAACAGAATTTAGGAGAAAAATCAACACCGAAAACACTCCCAAATTTGAGGGAAATTATACACCGAAAACAGGGTACCCTACCTATGTTTTGTAGTGATTCAGTTTTTCCAAATTCTGCAGCTAGAATTAACATTGACAAATCATTCATGGCCCCAAGAATGCCCTTCCTTCTGCTCACCTGGTTTTGTGTGGCTCCTGTTTTAAGAGGCTGGTCTGCCCAGTGCAAATACCATATTTACTCACATAATGAACAGACTTGCATGATGAATGTACCCGCTACAATGGGCATCAATATTTTGACTTTTTTCCTTTTTCTCGCATAATGAACACACTTTTAATTTTCGGCTCCGCGAGTCTTGAAGCCAATTTTCTTTTGCGGCCACGTGGCCAGGCCAAGTCAAGCCAAGCCAAGCCACTCTCGTAATGGCTGCAAGTACGTAGTTGCAGAAGTGATCAACCGTGAAGCCGAGTGGCACGTATGCCTAGCGAAGCTGGGGTCCAGAAATTGCCCAGCTTTGGACGTGCCTTGTCCATCGGATGCATTGATGTCAACAAACACGCCGTCGTCTCTGATCCGCTTTCGGACAGTGATATCCTGAAAGTGGTTAGGCCTAAGAATGGTCGCATCGCACTCCGTCCTGAGTGAGCTTCGTAGGGTGCTTTTTCTTCGGCAAAAGGCACGCCAAAAGTGCCCTAAAATAGGTTCGCAACTTATAGAGCATGGTTACTGTGGCGCACCCACGACCAGCCATGGGTGCGCTCTGGCAGTGGAGACGTACCACAGTACCATGCCATGTCATATTGGCACCTAAAATGATATTCACGCAAAGCGTGTAAATGCAAAAATTTTACCCCGTGTAATAGAACACCCCCCTTCAAATATAAAAAAGTGTGTTCATTTTGCGAGTAAATACGGTAGTGCCCTTCCTCACTTCACTCAGAATCAAGGTGCAGACGGACAATGAAACAATAAGCTCAAATCTCGTATCTCTCCGTTTTGGAGAGGACGGGCATTGTACCAGTGTCCGAGGTGTGGCTATTAAATAGTGACACTGGTGCCATAAGCATAATTTACTATACAAATCTTACAATTTTATTGTTATCCTCTTCAACACACACCACTTCCTTATCTATTTACTGTTGCATGTCAATTTTCCATTGTTGGAAATGGTGCTGCCGGTAATCACCTGTCAACCGCTTCAGCAGTGCCGTCGGTTTCTCCTCTACCTCCTACACAGACTGAAAATGGGTTCCCTTTAATGCGGATTTCCCTTTTGTAAACAGGGAAAAGCCACATGCAGCTAGATATGGCAAGTAAGAAGGAATCCAGCATGGGGATCCTGTTAACGGCCTGAAACTGCTTTACGAACAGAACATTGTGTTATGATTTGCTGAGGGACATTCTCTTGTCCCTCGGCAAATCGCAACGCTCACCATGGCAATTGCTCCAGCTCACCATGTTCTGTTCATAATACAGTTTCAGGCCGAAATGAGAATCCCCATGCTGGATCACTTCTTACTCACCAGGTTTAAATGTGTGGGACTTTTTCCTGTTTGCAAAGGTAAAATCTGCATTGAAAGAAACCAATATTTTAAGATTGTTGAAGAGATAAAGGAGAAAACAGTGGTGCTGCTAAAGAGGTTGACACATGATAACCTACAGTGGCGTTTCAGACAGTGGAAACTGTGTGTTCGTTGGTGTATAGATAAGGGAGAGGAAGTGGATAGCAATTAAGTTGCGAGATTGTAATAATAAACCATGCTTGTGCCACCAGTACTATTATTTAATAGTCACACCTCATACGTTCATGTAGTCACTTTCACATGCTGCATCTTAAAGGCCCCAGGTTAGCACAGTGCGCTGGTCAAATTGTCCGTCTTTAGTGGTGGTACTTGATGCCATTTTAATCTTCTGCTGCATCATGGGTCACGTATGGCACATACAAATTTAGTACAATCATGTCTCAATAATATGAGTGGTTTTGTTCCCCAGAAAAATTGTCCATAAGGGGAATCCTCCATAATAACGAATCGGAGTCAAAAATAATAAGTAACAAGCATAGCTCTCTCTACTTACGTTTTGTTATCGTCTTTTCCACCTTCAAACTGACCACAGAAGCGTCCAGTCTTGCCTCTTATGCACAGGGAATGTGATTCATCATGTATGTCATCCTTAAAAGGGAATGACAGTTTTTGGCTTGAAAGCCCAAAAAAAAAACGTCCACCTTTAGGAGCGCAGGCCTTATCTCACGACGGACAACAGACAATAGTGAATTCCAGGTACATAATGTCACCCCTGCAAATTATTCTTTCTTTTTCTTTTTTTTTTCCTTTTTTTTTGGGGGGGGGATGGGGGATGGGGCTCGGGCTTGTGAACTCGCATTCAAAATAGACGGCCAACATACAATGGACTATTGTGATTTTTGTGTCTTCAAACTGTGACCTCTACTGTTCACTAATTTTTATTTCTTTTTGGGGGGTTTGTATAGACCCGAGCCCAAAAATATAAAGACCAGCAATGAACAACAGACAACCCCTGTGGGATACTAACTTTTTCTTTTTTCTGGCGTTTGCGGGCCCGTGTCTATAATAACGAGACAAAAATGCCTGCATTTACTCCTTTCATCCCCAAAATAGCCCTCTATAGTTTGGACCATGGGTTTCTATATTAACAGGACAATTGCGTGGCAAGAGACTGGTCGCCAAAAATTTCATCCATATTAATGGGGACCATATCAGTGAGACATGACTGTATAATGAGTGTTTTTTCTAAGACAAACAATATTAAAGAAAGGGAACTTGCATTAGCACACCTCTAATATTGCCATTAACCTTCCCCGACTTGGCAGCCACTTGGAACATGGTGGCTTGTGCAATTAGGTGCCTAATTAACAGATATACTTGAATAACTTTTTAATAAGTAAAAATAGATATATAGTTTCACTTCGAAACTTGCTGGGCATCATCAAAAACCACTAAACCAGTAAAATTCAAAACAAAATGGAGCGCATGTATTGTTTTCCTGCGTCCCAGAAAGATTCCACAGTATGTTGCACCTGCAAGGATTCTACGTTCCTTATCAATCTCATCTTCGTTCTATCAGCCTTGTGCCTGCATCCAATATGGTGGCTTTCGTCGCAACATGACACTTCATACATTCTCCCAATCTTTCTATAATTGACTGATTTAGCAGTTTTCATTGGAACTTTGTGCTTATTCTTTAAGGGCCTCTGACACGCCAAAAAAATTTAATTTTTTTTCATGCTAGGCGTTGAAATGGCATGTCAGGACATTACAAAAAAATTGTTTCACTATAGAGATGCGTAGTTTTCATATAAAAAATAGAAATACGAGGCCCAATTCAAAGTTACTGCCAGTACACTGTGACGTAACAGTGTACCGCAAGCTGTCAGGGCGGTCAGAAGGGAGGCATTGCCGGAAGTCACGTGAGTTGTAGGCCTCCTCGTGCTTACCGCGAGCGCGTGTAAAATTATTTAAATATTTTTGTTATTCTCCGCACCCCCACGAGCGATTCAAGCAGACAAGGTTTCTTTTATTTGCTTTTCATCGCTTAATGTTGCTGTAAAGGTAGAAGAAAAGGAGTCAGTGAATTGACGTGATCAACTACAATGCCTAGAAGGTGCTGTGTGAGGGACTGACCGGTATTTCAGCAACTGAAGAAGAGATCACACTGCATGCATTTCCAAGAAACGGCAGGCATATTCAGCCTGGAGAGTGTACGATGATTCGACGACCTGGGTGTCCGAGCCTTCAGCAATGCAATTGGGTGTGTCGTACGCTAGCAATCCTAATTTCTGCAAGCGTTCTAAATTTTTTTTTCAAAACTTGATAGCTTCTTTTGTGTCCAGTATAGCTCTGTATCATCGGACTGACGGCATGCACTCGTACACTGGCTTGTACTCGCAACGCTTTCATCATTGACCTCGATCACGTCGATCCACTGACCCTTCGTCCTCAACTTTTACAGCACGCAAACTAACCAACGGTGCAGCGATAAAGAGCTAGTGGAACTGAAACTTCGTGTCCTACAATCGTCGTACAAAGAGCAGAAAAAAAAGGAAAAAAAAAGTCTTAGGCACGGTCGCGGAGAGCACGAGGAGTGAAACTTACGTGACTTCCTGCGAACCCACCTTTAGTGACGTAGGACGACGCCTCCCTTCTGACCGCCCCGACACCTTGCGTTACACTGTTACGTCAAAGTGCACTGGCAGGAACTTTGAATTGGGCCTCGTATTTCTATTTTTATAAAAAAAAACTACGCAACTCTATAGGCAAACAACTTTTTTGTAATGTCCTGACATGCCATTCAAAGGGAAGCTACTGAGCTTCTTGGAAAAAATGAGTTAGAAGTGAATTCTAGTGTATTTTTACCCCGTGAACCCGAATACTCAAACCATTTGCTGCAAAAGTATTGGTAAACGCGAGAAAAACGCGAAAGACAGTCGCTGTACGTGACGTCATCGACGGATCTTTTGGCTGCCCAAGGCTAGGGAGGCGGGGCTTCAGTCCTATTTTGAAATTGCTCGTATGGCTCTCCGGCGCGTCGCATTGAAATATAATTTGAATATCTATTATTTCAAAGGCGAAATGAACGCCATTCAAGCGTTTTTTCTCAAATGTAGAAGTGCCCCATCTTTCCTTTAAATGCCTAGCATGAAAAAAAAAATTTTTTTGGCGTGTCAGAGGCTTTTTAATAATTAAAAAGTTCATTATGAAAAACTATTTAACAACCTAATTATTTTAAACATTATGTGCCTCATTACAGGTCCCTTAACTGTGACTAATACAGTGGCAACCCTAT